ACGGCTCGTTGAGGGTCTGCGCAAAGACGGTGGAGGACTGCAGCAGTGAAGATTGCTGCTGCTGTTGCTTGTTTGCCTGCTGGCTGGCCGCATTGCCCCGTCCGCCGTAGCCAGTGCCCACGCTCGTGTTGGTGCTGTTGTCCCCGGACCCCAGCAAGCTCAGACCAGGAGCGCTCTGCTTTGCCTCCTGCTGGTGCTGCTGCTGCTTCGAGACACCAACACCACTCTGCGTGGAAACCTGCGGCGCCAGTGAGGAGGTGTCGAAGATGCTGGAGGAATCAGCGACGCCTCCGCCAGTGCCACCGAGCGAAAAGTTGTTGCTGCCAAATTCAAGAGATCCAAAGTGAACGGAAAGATTGGCGATGGGGTCGTTCGAGGCGGAGGGCATCTCCACCGCCGACTCGGGAATCTTGCTAGTCCGCGCCGAGTTCTGCACCTTCTGCAGCTGGCCTGGACGGTTCTGCTGCTGCTGATGATGTTGCTGGTGGTGGTGTTGCTGCTGCTTGACCACATGCGCCAGCGAGTCACCGGCCACCGCCGAAGAGATAAGTTCGTTGCCCGTGCCACTTCCTCCACCACCCAAGCCAACCATGGACTTAATACTTGCAGTTGCGTCCTTCTGGTACTGACTTAGGTGGTACGTCGGCTGTTGCTGTTGCTGAGGCGGCTGCTGTTGCGATTGCTGCTGCTGATGATTGTTGAGATTGGAATTGGACAGCTGCTGTCGCTGTTGCTGCTGGGGTGCACTTTGTACCGATGATGGAGCCTGGACCTGTGCCTGTTGTGCCGGCTGCTGTTGCTGAGATGGCTGATTCTGCTGAATCTGCTGGAGGAGCGCCTGGCCGGCGGACTGCTGCAGCTGTGTCTGTCGTGCCTTGTTCAGACTGGCGGAGATAACGGAGCTCATCGTTGGTGGCTGTTGAGGAACAGAAGCAGCAGTAGCATTGCCGCTATCCTCAGCATTGCTCTTTGCAATGAAAGACAACTGCGAGGCGCTGGTGTTGTGGTGATTCAGCGGCGCCGCAGGCTCGTCCTTCTCTGCAATCGTCTTTGTGCTGGGCGTGAACACCTTGGTCTCCATGGGCTAGAGAGTAAACAAAGGTTAAAAGTTAGCAGTCGTCAAAGAGAGAAATAGAAATCAGTTTTGGGCTTACCTGTGCCGTCCAGTCCTCCTCACTCCAGTCCTCATTGACGACAATGTCCGACCAGTTGCCAATCTGGTTCATCTGGTCGTCGGTGGGCTTGCCGCCCGCCACCGCCTGCTGATCCTGAACACTGCTGTTCGTCCACGTCTCAATCGAGTTGGGGAAGCCGGCACCTCCGTCATTCGGTCCTGCTGGTCCACTGGCGAGGTTTCCAGTGCGTGCTTCAACGCCTCCGACGCCACCAGCTCCGCCCTGGCTGTTGTTCAGTCCGCGGTTCATAAAGGTTCGCGTGCCTCGGCCGCCTCGTTCTCCGCCGCTCCTTNCTGGCGAGGTTTCCAGTGCGTGCTTCAACGCCTCCGACGCCACCAGCTCCACTTTGGCTGTTGTTCAGTCCGCGGTTCATAAAGGTTCGCGTGCCTCGGCCACCTCGTTCTCCGCCGCTTCTCTCGCCTCCGCCCCTCTCTCCACCGCCGCCGCCTACTCCACGATCGCCGGGGCCGCCAGGACCTCCTCTAGGCGCACCTCGAGGCAGGCCGCCGCCGATTCCACCGCGACCGCCGCCTCGAGGGCCACCTCGTCGACCGCCGCGCCTGGCCGCTGAGTCACCACCACCACCTCCAACGCCTGCTCCTCCTCCGCCGGGCAGATTTGCAGCCGCTGAGGAGGCTTTGGCAAAGATGTCGTTCTCTTCGGTGGAGGTGTTGTTGGTGGCACCCGCTTCGGCGCCTTTGAATCCGCCATCTCCTCCTCCGCCACTTGCACGAGGTTCTCTCTTCCGAGGACTTCTGCTGTTGGCGTTGGCCGATGATGCTCCCGGCGGACCGCCGCTTCTTTCGCCTCTTTCGCCACGAGGACCGCCTTTAGGTCCTCCTGAGGAGGCGTCTCTGTTGGGCGCACCGCCATTGTTATTGGACAGACTGTTCTTCTGACCTCCCGCTCCTCCTCTGCCTCCCTTCTCGCCCTTCTTGCTTCCATTGGTCAGAGCGGAAGGGTCGAGGAGGGCGGCCGTCTGGAGCTGGCCAGCGGCTAGCGCCTGCGCTTTGGTCTTCTTCTTCCGTCCTGTGGACTGCCACTCGCTGTCCAGCGCGTCTCCATCCAGTATCATCTCGATGGCTTTGGTCATGTCGTTGTCGCAATCGTAGAGCGCCACGGCGGCGTCCTCTCTACTTGCGCCCGTCAGCTCGACGATTTGCTCAATCTTCGGCTTCAGATCATTTTCGGCGTCCTTCTTATCACTACTCATGAGGCTGGCGATGCGCATCTGCTCCGCAGTGGGCTGTGTGCGTGGGAAATAGTGGTGTTGATTAGTCAGCTGGTCTGTAAAGTCGATCAGTAAAGTGATGACATACCTGAAATTTCTCCGATTTACGCAAATCATCCTCGGCTCCAGCGGCGGCTGAGCTGTTATTTGCGGCGGCTGTGATGGCCGAGTTCGGCGCTGTGGCAGAGGCATTGGCCGCAGCGGCGGCGGCAGCGGCAGAAGCAGCTGCTACGGCGGCGGCATTGGTGTTCTTATTTGAGGAGTGTGTGTTCTTTCGGTCCTTCGTGGACTTGCGCCCCGAGGCGTTTGTTGCGACCAGTGTTGTCATGGCTGAGACGCACTGGGAACAATGTGAAAGGTGGTGGGGGTTGGTGGTGCGGTGTTGATGGCGTGTGTTGGTGTGTTTGTGTGTTCTCTCTCCGGTCTGTCTTCAAGAGTGTGTCTTCAAGCAGTTATCTCTTGAGTTGGTTTTCCCTCCGTCGCTCTCTCGGTGTGTGGTGTTTGCAATATATTTACAGCGATTGTATTTACATGCAACTAGTAAAACCTGCGGAAAGAGGGGAGAGAGAAGGTGATTCAGGCGATTAGAAGGCGTAACAACAAAAGAGTGCCGGGGCGAATTAATCATCGATCGAGTGATCAGGCGAAGAGAGGAACACCGCCGCAGCCGCGTTGAAGGCTTATGTCAACACAGCACGTGCTGGTGATGGCGGTGCTGGTGGCGGATCTAATGACAAAGAGAGTGCCTCAATGTGAGCAGATCGAGTGGTCGTGGTGGACACAAAGAGAGCAGCTGCAACTGCGGCTGCAAGAAAGAAAGAAGGCAAGAAAGACAGAGAAAGAAAGAGAAGGCGCCTGAAGCAGCCGCAGCCAGTGCTCCACCGGCCGGTTGTGTCCTCCGTAGCAGCTGCTACGGTCGCTGCCACTGATCCAAGTAGTGCTCCGAGTGAATCCAGCACACAGACACAATACCGGCGCCGTCACCACCACCACCGCCACCAGCAGACGGACACCGCCGGTAAATTGATGATGACCTTGCTCCAGCGGGCGGACCAGTGTCCACTCCTCGTCGGATCGGTAAAGGGTGGGCGTGTGGATGGACAGTGGACAATGGGTCGGGGGATACCTAGCTCACAAAGATGGAAACAAAGCAGGTAGGAGAGCGAAGTAGAAACGTACCGTGAGTTACCCAGCGGTTGAGAAGAGAATGAAGAGAGATCGGCTGTGTGTGCTGCTGCAGCTCGGCGGCTCGCTCACAATGCTCTCGCAGACTTCAGCCTGCTCGCGCCGGTCCTGCCATCTGCCGCCAGGCCGCCTCCTGGCACCGCCCCAGCACTGATTTGTGCTAAGCGGCGGCTATTTCCACCTAAAACGACAGTCGGTTGTTCTGCGTGCGTCGCAGAAGAAGCAGAGGCGCCTTCTCTCCCTCTCTTCTGGCGCCAAGAATCCCTTCACCACTACTGCACAGATCAACTGAACAGTGAGCGCAGGTTACGTCACTCTCTCCGCTTTCTTTATTGTGGGATCAATGGACACTGCTGAGCTGCTGCTGTGACGTCAAATCAAAAGTGTAGAGGTGTTCGCCTCTCTCTCTGTGTGTTCCCAACAGCGGCCATTTAACCGAAATGTCTGCTGCGCGGGCGCCGGTGCACCACCACAGACAGGCGAGCGCGCGCGAGTATCACATGAGATTCAAAAGCGCGGGCTGTTGCTGTTGTTTGCTGTTGTGATAGATTATCTGATGATGTTGATGTTGATGGTGGTGCCCGGTGGACACCGGACGACTGCTGGCCACTGAAGCTGACGATGATGATGACATGGCCGTTCGCCTCGACTCGAGGTACCTCGCGCCCTGCTTCATGTGCTCCCGATGCTGGGCGATGATCTCCAGCCGCCTCGCCAGTGGCAGTTCGATGAAGACGGCGTAGAACTGGCGACAGGCGGCTTCCAGCTGGTCGCAGAGTCGCTTGTGGAAGGAGATGTCCGAGTGGGTCACCACCAGGCGGCCGCCTGACTCTCGAAGCAGGTTCGTCTTGAACTGCACCAGAATGCGCGAAGTGTCGGTGATGGTCCGCTTCAGGGTGACCACCTTGTCGGTGCGCATCAGTCGGCGGACGAGGTAGCCCCGGACGAGGGCGGGCAGCCTTCGAAATTGGTGTTGAAGCTGAATGAGAGATGAACGGATTAGAAAAAGTGAATTGTCTAAAGGTTTTTGGTTGGGACTCACCGATGAAATATCTGGATCAGATGTTTGTGATTCGTTTTGGTTTTGTGCATCTAAACACTCGGTTTGCGTTTGAGCATTCACCTTTGTAATTTGTTGACCAGCTGATACTTTCTCTTTGTAAAGTATTTTCTCAAGAATGCGGGCTGATTCTTGGTTGATCTGCTGGGCAGACTGACAAAGGCCGCTTATTTGACTGGTGAGATGCTTCTGGGCGGACTCCACTTCGATCAGCTTAGAAGACAGTAAACGGAGGTTGCTCAAAAGACTTCTGATGTCCTCATTCTCTTCTTCTTCTGGTGCTAAAACTTGGGGACAAAGATGATCGACAAATGGATTGGTGCTGGCAAATGGTAAAAGTGGTGGCGGTTGTTGTGGTGGTTCATTTGGCTGCTCCTCAACTAGTGTTGGTGAACTGGTCGAAGACTGAATGCTGTCACCTTCTTCAATGGCTGTGGTGAAGAACGGCTGAAGATCATCATCATCATTGTCATCAAGAAGCTGGGGATCATCATTTGGAACGCTAAAGTCAAGACTGGTTGAGGCGAGCGACGAGGCGCACGAGGATCCGTCACCTTGACCATCACTCTCTTCGCCCGAAAAAGGGCCACACTGGACTGCTGCCTTCACCGGTGTACTGAAGGCANCCGGTGTACTGAAGGCACTTTGGTAGTGTGAGTTGTCCATCGAAGTGTCGAAGCTGTTGTTGGTGGAACTAAGATCCATCGTTGCGAAAAAGTGGAACTCAACTTTGTTTGTTTGTTTGTGTTTTCGTTCCTGTTTCAGATCGCCTGCCAACGTCCACTAGGAGCCGCTAGTGGCGCTAGTTAGGAAATCTTCGAATTTAGAATTTCTATTTTTTTAAGTTCCAAGTTCTACTTTCAAACTTTGACTTTAACTTCTATTCTTTTTTAGAATTTTCACTAGAATGGCCGCA